CTCCAGCTGGTGCGCTGCTCCACCGCCTCCCGCCCCGCCAACTCGGCGTGTCGCGCGCGCAGCAGCACGATGACGCGGTGGCACCGCTTCAGCTGGTTCCTGCCCACGGGCGCTGCGGGCGCCGGGGGAAGGAGGGAGGAAGGGAGGGAGGGGGGGAGGAGTTGTTCTCCATCTCACTTCCTAATGAAGTCAAGTCCAGGAAAACAGATTTCAGGAATCGCAGCCTCTAGGTTGGGGTCGACAGTTTTAGCTTCACCCCTCTCTTGTCTATTCCTGCAGCGTGCCAGCAAGGCTGATTTACTCTCAGGGACGCCAGCACGGGGGTGCGGCCAAGGCGAGAGCCAAACTCACTTCACTGTGCGCGCGCAGTCCGCGCAGTAAACGATCGAGCTGCTGTGATCCAAGTGGCCCACCAGCGGGCGGAGCATATATTCGGGTGTGTATATATAGATAGATAGATATACATACATATATATATATATATATATATATATATGGCAGCAGCTGGAAGTGTCCTTCCCGACTGCCTGCACCAAAAAACGATGGCCATCAGGGCGCAGGAAGCACTGCTAACTGTGATTCTAAAAACCTGCATAAACCGAAGCTCCGAAAACAGGCGCGGCCCGAGAACCGGGCCCGGCTCCAGACCAGATCCAAAGCAGCCTGGGACGCTCAGTAGCCCGACTCACGGACCGAGGAAGGGGGGCGACGAGGAGCGAAGACGGCGAGAACCTGCATCCTATGTTAGATCCCATCGCCCTCGACGTAAGCGTCGCGACATGTATATGCTGGTCTACTCCTTTTTTCTTAGAGCCGGCGCCGCGGCCAAGCTGTCTGACTAGGTTGCCGCGGGGGGCGCGGCCACTCTAGATTTGGCCTCCCATGCTGCGCATCCTCTCGGACAAAATGGTCTCGACTGGGCCCCTCATGCCTCGGATCTGCAAGTGGGGGGTCGGCGTCTCCATGGGCGCCTCCTGGTGGAGCGGATCCTCGGGCAGCCTGATGGCCTTCATCATCTTCTCGCGGTCCTCCGTTGCTTTCGGCACTGCGAGTTCTCCTCGGCAGCTGAACGACATGTGCATTTGGGATTATTCGCGTGGTTTCTGGAAGGTGGGCAGCATAATCATCTCTTTGACACAAGTCCGAGCATTGTCTGGACCTCCCGCCCGCAGCATGTCGCGCAGCCTCTGCAATCCCGCGAACGTGGATCGCATCTTTGGCGAGGAGTTGCTGCGCTCGAAGCTGAGCAAAGCGCCCAGAACCCTGCAAGGCAATAGGGCGACGGGGGGCCGTGATCAGTGTCTGGCAACTCCTTCCGCATGTGTAGGTACCCCTGGAAGCACAGGTGGATCTGATCCAGAACCTCCTTGCACGCTATCACAGTGGCATGGGCTACGTTTCCCAAGTCTGAACTCGCCCTTCGGGGTGCACGAGGAGCGATTGCATGATCTCCAACGCGCTGACTATGCCAATTGGGTCGTCCTCGTCCTCCGCCTCGCCATCCTTTCGCGCTGCTTTCCGCGCTGGGCCCGAGGCGCGCGGTGACCCGCGAGGGCGAGCTCGCGCAAGCCAGCTCTTCTCCTGAGATCCCATCAGTCTCTGCTGGTGGCTGCCGGATATGAAAAGAAGGAAGACGGCGAGCTGCAATGTGCCATCGAGCGCGCATGACACACTCGGCTGCGGCCTTGAACTCCGGCAGGCACACTACACACTCGAGCTTCGGTCCGCATAGGCGGCGCGGCGAGACGGGCGCGCGCGTTCGGGCGGCAGTTCTGGATGAGTCTGCTTGCTATATGCTGTCGCGCTGCATCGGTGTCTCGAAGTGCCAGTCCGCAACAGACGCAATGGTTCGCGCTCGCGGCGGCCGCGCGACCCTCCGACCGCCGAGGCAGGGTGATTGTGGAGCTGCCTCGTTTATGGCCAACGCGAGTTGCATGCGCCCCCGTCGCCCCAAACAGCCAAGCAGCGGCGCTTGCCTCCAGCCGCCCGATCAGCTGCCGCGCGAGCTTGTGCATCCCGAAGGAGGTCGCGGGCTCTGAGCTCGCCGACGTCAACGCCGCAGAAGCCTCCGGGCTCTTGGAACGAAAACTCGAAAGGCCTCTGCGTCGAATGCAAGACTGCGCCTGCCTCGAGATCTTGGGGGTTGTCAAGATCAGCCTGAGCCCGGCGCGCCCGCGGTCTGGCTGTCTCGGCCGCTCGGCCGCCGCCATCAAACATCGGGTCGTCGAACCTCGTGCGACCGAAAACGGCAGATGGAAACTGAGCGTTATCTTGCCTGTGCGAAACCATCTGCTGAAGCCATTTGAGTCTGCGTATCCGTAGCTCAAGAAATGCTGGAGCTAGTTTGAACCGTCGCTCTATGTCGCGACAGCGTAGAGCCCGCTAATGTCGAACCTTGGGGCCCCAGTAAGAGGCGCCTTGCATGATCGCCCTACGCTTTTTTAGGATGAAGCCCTGAAGGTGCTGGACGCCGTTTTCCCCAAGAGGACCTGGCCCAGGAGCGACAAATTCCATTCCGGACCAAGCAGCGTTAACCAAGAGCCCCTTGACTAGCGTGCTTGCAACGCATAGAGTTGCATCTGAATACCAGGATCTCCCCGCGCTGCTGCGCGACGCCGCCGCGACGGCGCAGGGCCTCTAGTGCAGCTCGGACCCCGGAGCGCAAGTCGAACTCGCAGTCCTCCCAGACAGCGGAGATGATGGGGGCGCACCCATCGACGCCCACTGCTGCTCCACTGCGAGGTGCGCGCGGAGTCCGATGGGCCCCGCGGCCTCGGCAGCAACGGAGATTCATTCTCCTGCTCGCTGATGCATTGCCCCCGCCCCCGCCCTCCGTCGCCCCTCGTCGATGGCATCGCTTTCGGGCTTGCTACCTCTGTTGATCGCCCCCTCCATCGCCCCCTCCCCGTCCTCTATCGCTTTGTTAGCCATGTCGCCGGCGTGGCCAGTTGTCGAAAACTGCCCTGTCCATTCGACGCCCCACGGCGGGGTTGCCTCGAGATGTGGGCACCAGTTCTTTGCAACCGCGACGTCGGCGAAACGCTCGAGGACGGGCTCCGAGTCGGCCCCGCAAATTAGAGGCGCCGCTCCTGCGTCGCCTGGGAAAAAAGCCACTCTTGCCCTGCTGCCAGAAGGGCGCCGTTTCGTCTTCCAGGAGGAAAGCGTCGCGAACAATTCAGTCCTTTATGACTGCTCTGTTCGCTGGCTTGTATGTAGCAGGAGCCGAATCACTCCAGAACTGCAGAATGGCGAATCGCCTACTATTCATGCGCGGCGTCGCGTCATCTCGGCATGTGATACCCCTGCCGCCTGCATCCCGCACCCCCCAAACATCTGCACCCCCATCGCCGCCCCCCGCCACCTCCCCGGGCCTCCGCGGACTCAGCAGGGCGGGTCCCAAGCGGGGTCCTCACAAGCGAAAGTAGCATCGTGAAATGCGTGACTGGGTGCGTGCATGACCACGATGAGACACTCGGGACTCGGGCATGCGCGCTGCTTGTGCACTGCGCCATGCTGCGGGGCGTCTGTCATGCAATCGGCAGGCGCGCAAGAGCCCGAGCAGTCTCCCGCCTTTGTGACATTGCGCATCCCCCCCCGCTTCCCAGACAACGTCGCCGCGCGGGTCTGCCGGCGCTTATCTACCCACTTCGGTCGGAGAATTACGCGCGGGCATTCTGGGGGGGTGCCCCAATTTGGCCACGTCCTCCGAACGTGAAGCCGATATGCTCTGACAGACAACAGGCTCCACTCCCAGACAAAACTAAAAAGACACGCTTCGCTCTGCCCCATCTGCGCGCGCTGCTCTGCCTGAACCGCTTGTGATACCTGCTCCGGAATCTTGACGATGGCTGCGCAGACCCCCGACAATGGGTCGAGCTGCATCTTGCGCCCCCAGCTAGCGGCGCATGCCGAAGAGCCCGGCACCGCTGCGAATCTACGCCGCCTGGGCCCCCGCTTCAGGCGCGCTATCTTCTGCGCGAAATAATTGTTCTACTCCTTCGCCACTGTCATTAACTCCGCAAGCCTGCGCAGCTGCATCGCCTGCCAATTTCGTTCAGTGCGTTCTCTGATGAGTTGTTCGCGCGCTTGATGTGCTTGCCGTGCTCCTCGTCGACTTTGTCTTGCCCTCTCAGGTTCCGTCTTTAGGCTAACAGGCCCGCGAAGGTCGCGAGGTGTTCCTCGTGGTTCTCCGCGTACAGGGGGCTCGCGCTGAGGGCCTCCAGCGTGGCCTGGCTCATGGCGCCCATGGAAATGTTGCTCATCTTGCCCATGTTTCCCTGGCCCCCGGCCTGGCCGAACTCTTCGATGCTTTCTGCCGCTAGTATGTCCATCGTCTCGAGTACCTCCTTTCGCTTGCACCCTGTCTGCGCGCTCTGATACAAAGCGTTCCTGTTGGGACATGGGCCTCGCATTTGAAGGTGGGTAGCTGCTAACTTTGCGAAACGGGCCGCGAGGGCGGGCTTGCGACATCTGCCCCCTGCGCGCGCAACTGCCCGGGGCCTCTCGGCACTCGAGGTGGGCGCCTGGACACGCCCAACAATGCCTAGTAGCGCCGAGGGGGCGATCGCGTGAAGCCCCAGCCCGCCAAAAACGGTTTCAGTCTCGCCGAACTCGGGCTGGTCTTTCCACGCCCGGGTCGCCCAACAACGCCATCCTGAAGGGGGCGGGGCAGCCCGCCGCTGAGATCTATCAATAGCAGTGGAACAGCTCCTCGCGCACGAAAAATAGCAATCGTTTCATTCAGCAAGAGGTTCGTATGATCCCAACTTCGCTCATATACAAAACGCGCCGCTCGAGCGGTCTCGCGCGGGGGGCGTCGCGCAGCGCGCGCTCCGACGCCCGGGCCACCTCGTCGAATAGGAAATCCTAGACAGCGGCCCCGCCGAACTGTCGGAACAGGGAACTCTTTTCATCGAAGTCATCGGACATCTGGCGCGCCGCAACGACGCGGTCACTCCGCCCAGCTTTGGGCGCCAGAGCTCCCCGCGAGTAGACAGACTCGATGGCGTTGTGCCCTCCGATATTCCTGGGCTCCTCCCACTGCCCCCCGTCGCCATCAACTGCGCGCCCGTAAATGCGATGATGTCACTGTTGCCAAG